GTATGTCGGAAGAAAACACATACGGACCAGCTATTAAACTACCACAGCAACCACCCAGTGAATCACAAGAAGAGCTGCATTCAAACCCTGTTCAAAAGAGCGGAAACGCACTGCAGCACTGCCGAATCGCGGAAACAGGAAGAAAATCACATATATCGAGTGTTTAGTAACAACGGTTGTCCGAGCAATTTCATCAGAAGAAGCTCAAACAATTAATGCCTCAGCAGCAGCAGTCATCTGATCAAGCAGACAAACGGATAGTACTCCCCTACATCAAGAACGTCTCCGAACTAACAAAAAGGTTGCTGCAGTCACCTGGAATCTCTGTGGCTCACAAACCAAATGCCACCCTAAGGAAATTGATCTCAAGACCCAAAGGAAAAGTCAATCAAGTCGACCAATGCAATGTCACCTACCAGATAAAATGCAGCGACTGCGATAAAAACTACGTCGGACACGAATCACCGAACACAAGGCGGCCGTCAGAAGGCATGATCCGCACTCATTGCTTTCTGCGCATGAAGATCAAGAAGGTCACCATTTCGATCTGGAGAATGTAAAGATCCCAGTATATGGAAGCACAAAACACGCGAGGAAGTTTTTGGAAGCCTGGTACTCTACAACGCATTCAATCAATCGACACATCGAACTGGACGCAGTATACGCCACAGTACTGATGAACGACCGCCAACTCGATCGATTGAATCCGGTGGAACGTGTGACTAGACAACCCGCACTGACGGCAGACTCGCTCGTAAGAGTAAGCAGACAAAGGCCACGAAACACAAGGAGACGAGGTGAAAGGCCATCTGCCCATCAACCAAGCTGAACGCGGATCGAAGTCCTAACCAATAGGATTGCTCGGCTCCACGGCGGTATAAAAACGCACGCACACCACGCTCAGCTCACTCACACAGAGGCTCCTCTATGCTATTGCACGCCACTCAACTACGCACTGATGATCTCACCTCGATTGGTGACGAAACGTTTGCAACAAAATTGCCAAGCTCAGTGGACACTTCAACCGCTATCTGAACAACCTGTGCTACCAGACTTCAATTCTATAGTAAAGCCAAAAATGAACTACCCTATGAAATTTACGTTAATTTTTTCAAGGTGTAGATTTGAATTTCATATGGTGCATGAATTGTCATGCCGTGACAGTGTTACTGAGGGAAGTTCCGATGAAGTCTGTGCGTCTTGAGGCGGTACATAAAGCTGTGTCATAGAAAATAACTTAAGTGGAGTATGTAAGGCTGGCGTTGACACACAACTGCGTTCTTCCTGTCTATCGCGCGAATACTTAAATAAGTAATTTGCTTGAAAACACGATACATCCTCCCGCACAGGAGCAAAAAGTACAGCGGTTTTCTATAGAAAATAACATTCGTCTTATTGAGATGCATCCGTAGCAGGAAACTGTCAATTTCTCCTGGATCCGAACACACCACCTTACTCTTACGAGGAGGCCACTTGAATCCCCCCATGGGTTACAGGGACGGACACCATGACTGATAACTGACCGCAATGTAACACAACACATTAACATTAGTGACCTACTTGTTTCAGTTCGCCTAATCAGGGTAGAGGAAACGCTTTTCCTAGATAGTACTCATGCTCAGACTAGCCAATTGAAGTCGGGTCAATACGTCCTAGCAGTGAGTACAAGCGATCTGAAAAATAATAATAAATAATGTGTCAGGGGTACGCCGTAACGGCACTTCGCTACCGCGCGACCACCACCGCTCGCGCGCGGGCAGAGTATAAAGAGGGGACGCCTACCCCTAAGCGGATTCGAAGCGGTGACCTTATGGTTGCAAACCAGGCGCGCAGACCACTCGCCGATACAAGCGATCGGAGATTAAATACGGATGTGTAACAGCACACTACTGGATTCAGGACCAAAAAAGAAAGGCTAATGTTTAACAAGAGTATCTCGACTGACTGAGCCAGAGGGAAACACGTCTTCTCCGTTCTCACTTCCATATTTATGAGTAGAGCACTTTTTTGATCTCCCACATGGCTCGGTGCGAGCCGCTAGTGGCCATAGGTTCGAATCCTGATGGAACCGAGGAATGCGCACTATTCATTAGACGCAACAGCCGTGTGGAGGACTATCCGATTTGGACGCCACTGCGGAAAGAATCCAGTTATTTACTATCATCCCTGATGAACGAATTGCGAGGAAGATGAGTGTCAGTATGGGATATGAGTTGCCACGTAATGGCAATGTCACGTAGGCGAGCTCTGATCAGTGAGATTTGAGACGGCAGCGTTGTTGGGGGAAGCTTAGATGGAGTGTGCGCCCTTTGGGTTGACACACAACCACAGATTAAATGAACAGATCACAGCTATAACAAGCGTAGTTTGAATCACAGTGTGGCGGCATTATTACTGAGCCTGCCAGAGGCGAGTGCAGCTCACGTTTGGCTGAACTATGTGCGATCCGCAACATCTCCTCCTAAGGTTAAAGGGCACTGTTTTTCGGGATGGTTTAGCTGCAGTGTTTTAGACTACCGTTGGATTCGTCGTTTCCGACGGCTATGACAGTCGGTATTTCATGTTTGTGGAGTCGCTGTTGTTGATTATGGTTGTTCCTCTGTACACTCGAATGTGTGCATTAGTACGTGTAGTGGCAACTGCAAGGACAAGTGGTTGATGGGTTTCAAACTTGAATTTGGAGTAGCCGTCGTGCGGTTGTAGTGCGACACGCACTCTCTATTGAGACCTCGGTTCCCTCTGAAGTAGACATCAGTCATTCCGAGCACAGGGACCGTATCCGAGAGATGGAGATGTTTCGGTGTTGCTCCTCCCAAGGCTAACACCCCATGACCGCGGTTTCGTTCTAGTTTAGACCCATCATATGGAGATAGCCTGAGCTTGGGTGGAACTCAGGGCCTAGTGGTTAAAGGCTGAAGCCTTGATCACCATGCCAATAAGACGGGTGAGCAGTGCTTGACACAGCGTTAAGGAATTCAAAGTTATATTTGGAGTACTCGTCATGTGGTCGGATTGAGACACGCAATCTCCAACTGATGAGTCCAAATGAGGATGAAACCGGTCATGACAATGTTTCGCTTTTAATGTAAAAGCTTTTTCAGTTAAGTCGAATTGTTACATAGCTGGTGTGGCATTTTCTAGCAGGTGAGGAAGATAATCGTGATAACTGAAATATGAGTCAACAAAATTCCACGGCCACAATTGGGGAAGTCATCTCAAATGATTCAGACAGAGTGAGACTATTCTAGTTTTGTATTGAAATACCACCTCTAATATGCTACATGCTAGCCGTTTATCACATAAGTTACGCCGCCATTCATTTCGTTGCATAGATGATTGAGTACGACAGCGTGACAGTTAAAGGAACTCCCCCGTGGGCCGAGAGAGTAGCAGGGAGATTTATTACTTTTGAAAAAATTCGTCCAGGAAAGCGATAGACGGCCGTTTCATCCTACTGAGGCTCATCAGTAGTGCGCATCCGCTGGATTCTCTTGTTTCAGAAGCCATGATTTTACTCTTACGAGACAGCTACTGAACCATGGGTGATGGCGCTGGACCACCCAGTATTCGGTGCGATATAGCGCAGTTTCTCCTATACTGTCATACACGTCATAGAAGAGGATGGGACATTTTCGGTTCGCCAGTGCCATGCCTTTCTTTGCAAACAGCAACCAATAGAGATGCCCAGACAGACTCAACCGGATATTCACCACACACCGGACAAAATAGACATACAGTGCTTTTCGAATGTGTGGCTGTTGTCTGGTTGCGATGGAACTTTTCAGAGTTGCTTACGGTGTTTTAGCAAAGATAACATTAGCAGTTGAGCAACCTTATATGGAAAGTGAACGCAGTGATTAAAAAACCATGCAGACATAACATTATCACAGGATGTAAAGTAATGGGTGATCTTAAGGTGGCTTCATTTGAAGCAACCGTTGTGTGAATGGGCTGCGACCTGAAGCCTTAAGGTGGAGCGTGATTAACGCATCGTCTCTTGCTAGTCAATTTGAGAAGATTTGCAGAGTAGGAGAGAGTAGAAATCAGGGACGCTTTACAGATGAATAGCATTCTCCGGTTGCCAATCCCGGAAGCGGGGTTAGGTTCGGCTTCCCACCTTAGAGGTTTAACCCATAGCGAAGGGGGTAAATAGAGGTATGTGTAGAGGATTTCATCTATAACCGCGCCCAAAAGGTAGTAAATAAAATAGAGATTTGCAATTATAAGGAAAATTTGTAGCTCGGAGGGCGGTGGGAGAGTTGGGAGAAAAGCCAAACGACCCAAATTGAGATGTACTCAGAAGACTGTGTCCACAGCCTACGATGCAACGGCGTGATCCTCGAGGCAGTGAGAGAACCGGTCAATAGTGGGAACGTGGCTATGGAAACTCGCCAGAAGATTTCTGACTTTGAGTAAATGCAGTTGCAAAACATTTAGCGTGACGTGCGTTTGTCTACAACAGTAATAGCGCGAATGCAGCTGCGATCGCAGTCGGTCAACTGGAAACAAATTTTGGCGTTTATACACTTCGTTGTCCAGGGTGTGATTGACTTAGAAAGTGGTCGTAAACAAGTAGAAAACAATTGCGTCCTCCCACTACGAGAGAGAAATCGTGCGCTAGTGTTCTACACCAAACCAATTGAGAGGGCCATCGACCAGCCACCAACTTCCTGAGAAGTAAACAATGAGATGAAGTTTATCCGACTCCCTGAATTTGACCTGTGTGAACCTATTGAGTCCTACCATAGTTCAAAGGACCATAATGGCGCGGTAATTGTCACACCTCCTTAGGATCCAGTCTCGTAGGAATGCAAAGAATTGTGATTGATTTTAGGGAACTGGGAAACATATTTGGACGAGCAACGTTAGCTAGATGGATGCCTCGAATGCGCGGTTGCACAAGATGCGCGATCAGCGAAGAAACCCAACTCAGCGTTCGGGGTTCATTATAAATTCCGAAAGGATCCGCACCGGGCAAACGGTGAAAAGAAGAAAATACAAATTCTTGTTGTATTGCAATATATGTGTTAGTACTTAAAAGCTTCTTGTACTGCGGCGCATTTGTGACTTCCATCACAGAAGGGAGGTTCGTTGGTCTGCTTGCAAGTGCACCACCAGACCTCGGTTTTCCTGCGATGAGGAAGAGAAAAATGCGGACAAAAGGAGTCAGATGTGAAACGATCCATTAAAAATAGTGAGGAAAGTAAAGCACCGAAAGAGAACGAAACGAACAAGCTACGGAAAACAAATTTGCTGCAGTAAGTGACGTCAGGTTACATTTGAAGCAATTAGTCCTAGTTAACAATTCAGGAGACACCGTAAGAAAACGAGAACAGATGGAAGCATACACTTAATGACCCATCGTATGTTTAATAACAATCACAGGGTCATAAAATGTGTCGAAAAGTAACCCCGAATTCCTTCGGTAAAGTGGCTGCTTCGAATGGTGTGATTGACTCACACGGTGTCGCAGATTTTCTGGGACTACAAAAGTTCGTAATCGTCGAACAAGACAATGAGAAGGGATAGGTGGGAAAGCACACACGAGAAGCATTGTACGTGTGATTTATCGTCGCCCCATGTGTGAGGATTAGATGAAGCCACACACCAGTGGGAGTAAGTAAGACGCTGACTTCCATCATGACACTACACAGTGTTGCCGGGTGACACAGACTAGTAATGGCAAAATAATCTGAGCTGGATTGCATTCAGTCAACACCCTTCGCAAAAAGGTTATCACAATGCAAACTGGAAGAAACCGGAAAGTGTAGAAGGCTGTCGGGAACGATTAACCAGCCGTCGTAAAGCGTGGGTCGGGTGATGATTCCTGACCGACTCCTGAAACTAAATGGTAGTAAATATAGGTCACAATTGTGCCAAGGTTTCTGTGATACTTGAGACGAAAGAACAAGCGAGGCTAGTATGAAGAGTAAACGATGAAAGACCCTTCATGGAACCATTGTAGCCAATCTGTTAGTCAAACCGTACAGTCTAGATCGCTAATCGTGCTAAATCAGCAGGCTAGTGCCAGTAGGAGACGAAACTGGTGGCCACCACGTAGTGCCATAGAAAACCTTTCGACATCCCGCCTACACATAACTAGTGGTATCACAGGCGCATCAACTCACAATAAGGAACGCCATCTCCTTCAACAGGTGGAAGACTATAGAGGGCAGTTTTGTTTGCCCCATGGTCCTGATCTCCTGTTGCTCAGGTGGTGCACGCTAAGCGGGAGTTTAGAAATTCTATCGACGGCTGAGGTCCGAAACACGATCATACATCTCAACCAGTTTAGCCCTCTGCTCCAGATTTCCATGACGTTGCGCAATATAAGTATAGCGGTAATGTCCTCCAAAAGGCGGTGAATAACATGTCAAAATCGGTAAGGAGAAGAGACCATCCCAGCTAAATGGGGTGAATCGATCATAGCGCCAACGCATAAACAAGGCAATTACACCTTCCGTACTAACCACCAGGGTATCAGGCTGACCCCGGTGGTGATAGGTATTGGCCTCAAATCTCACAGATCGCCTCAAGATAGAAAAGAAATCTTGTATGCGGAAAAACAAGCATATCTTCCTCCTGGATGAGGCTGAATAGAGCACGTATTCACTCTGCGGTAGGTGTGAGAGTAGCGTCACATCAAACGCACACCGACGATGGCTGCGTTCCTAGATTTCGGATTAGTAAGTTACTCCATTCGTTTCCAAATAGTCCCATCGCAACGAGGCTGGACCTTAGCATGACGCGATGGTTTGCGTACCCCGGTAACCCATTGACCTATGCTGGGTGGCACTTTCCAAATGCCATCAGAGCTAATCATACCAGACAGGTCAATGGTTAGGGGTCAGACTAACTCAGTCTCATAATCCGATTCTCTTCGAGGGTTAGGGAGAGGTCGACGGTCCTCTTCCCTTAAAACCTAGCGATGGGAGACAACACGTCCACTGGTTATAAGCTCACAGCTCGATTGACGAAGAGCACGAACGCCACGCATTATCTCTGACGGTGAGAGGGCACCTTCCGGTGCTCAATGGTTTGCTAACGCCCGCCTCAAGTCAGGCAGCCCCTGATTAAATTGGTGCAAACCTACCAACTCCCGCATACGGCTAGCCGTGATTTCAGGTGCGTAACCTAATACGGTCGTAAAATATGTGCATTGTTTTAAATATCCAAAGGTCTCAAGCAGATAGCAATGGATATCTGAGACCACACACCCGAGCTGGACTTGCTCCCCACTGCCTTGTGGGTCACTTAGCACCTACCGTATTCCTCAATGACATGGAGCCGAATTGACCAGAATGCCTTCAGCTACAGATGGCGCACATCAGTCCAAGACTGTCGGTTAATTTGCAGCATGTGCCCGGATTCTGGCCATGCTCTAGTGCGCGTACGCTTCGCGCTCAATCTTCCCGCTTCAAAGAAGCGTCTATCTTCTAATTTTACCTGTAACTTAAACTCACAGTCTGCAGTTTAACAAAATCATGTCGAACTGACACACCAACTGTCGGCGATGAATGAGGTTGGTGAGCCGAACGCTGACTGGGATCGTCTCAAATGTGCCATGAAGAATGCCTTTGACACATACTGTGCACCCAACTTGAGACCTCGTAGCTGCGAATGGATTTCAGAGGCAACGGTCAGCTTGATCGAAGCACGGAAACAAGTTTCATTGGGCACTGAGTTTCAGCACGTCCGCAAGTCTCTGAAATAACGTCTGACAAGGAGTCTTCGAATCGACCGGGAATGTTGGTGGATGGCAAAGACCCGTGGGATGGAAAAAGTCAGTGCTATTACAGATAATCCGGAACACGGGTCTGAGAAAGCCATCCGTTAGCTAGACAGTAGCTGAGAAGGAAGGGTAGCTGACCCATTCTCAGCGTCTTCGATTAGCCCGTTGGGCAAAACATTTTCAAGCGCAGTTCAGCAGGCCTGCAGCGACATTGCCGCTTACTGAATCGCTTGAGCCGACGTGAGTAGATGTCACAACTCCTACTTTAGAAGAGATCCAACATGAGCTTTCTGTGTCGAAAAGAAACAAGCACCTTTCTCCAGCTCTGCTGAAAGATGGCGGTGACCCTTTGTTGACTAGACCCGCTAGCCTATTTAACACGGTTTGGAACAGTGAAGAGATTCCTTCAGGTTGGCAAATGTCAACTGTCGTGCCCATCTTCAAGAAGGATCAGCGTACTTTGTACGAAAATCACCGAGGCATTAGCCTTGTTTTCATTGTATCCAAACTCCTCACGCGTATCATTCTCCGACGAATTACTGTCCCCTTGAGAACCGAATCAGTGAAAGGCAGGCTGGCTTCCGCCCTTGACGTGGTTGCATCGGCCACATTTACTCTTCGCCAAGTGTTGGAGCAGCGACACACATACAGGCGACCGACAATGGTGGTTTCCATTGATTTGTAAACTGCCTTCGACTCTGTTGATCGCGCCAGCCTGTGGCACTGCCTATCTATGAAGAGCGTGTCGGCTAAATTCCTTTCTATTTTCAAAGCTCGCTACCGTGACACCCTAAGCCGTGTAGGGATCTATGGGAAACTGTCTCCTGAGTGTCCCAGGACAAGTGAGGTTCGCCAGGATTGTACTCTATCTCCTTTCCTCCTCAACTTTGTTATCGAAATGATTATGAAGGACTCCACTTTTTCAGACTCTGACGGAGTAGACGTTCTATCAGGTGACCGACCGCCAAACCTGGAGTATGCGGACGACAAATCTCTGTGAGTAGGATGCACTGGCTATGCAAACACTGTGGATAGACTGATGCGCAGCGCCGCACGCTTCCGCATGTGCTTTACAACCGCAAGGTGCAAAGTACTGCTGTAGGACTGGACAGACATACCTCCGGTTCTAGCCATCATCGAACAACCACTGTAAGTGGTGGATCGGTTTACTTACCTTGATAGCTGTGTCATATCGGGTGGTCACATAAGTGAGGGAGTTACTTCGAGTATTAGCAAGGCCCGTGTGTCTTACCAGAGACTCAACCATCTGTGGAGACGGCGGGATGTCAGCCTGTCAGTGAAAGTTAGGGTGTATAATGCTGCAGTAAGACCGATTTTACTGTATGGATCAGAGACCTGGTCAGTTCGCGGCGAAGACATTAAACGCTTGGCCATGTTTGACCACCGGTGCTTGCGGAGTATTGCTCACCTCTGGTGGGAACATCGAGTGAACAATGCTGAGGTCCGCCGGTTGGTTTATAGCAAGAATCCTGGTGCCTCATAGGCGTTTGCTAAATATTAATCTACGTTGACTAGGCAATGTCCTCCGTATGTCCGAGGGCCGGCTCCCTTGGCGTGAATTATACGTCATGGTTGCACGAAGCTGGGGGAAATCGCGAGGTGGCCAGTCCATGACGTGGCAAAGTGGAATGAAGAAATTGACTCAGACTTGATCAGGCGGATGTGTTGTCTTCCTAGATGGGGGCCTCGGGATGGTCCACACTGATGATCAGAGACCGTATCAGCCATGGCACAGGCACGTAGTCAGTGCAGTTCCTGCATTCGGTTTCTTGCATCTGGTCCTTAGTTTCCGTTCCTTCCTGATTAGTTTAACGCACTTCCTTCTTGCTTTCCTTTTCTTTACATTCTGTTTGCCTTTAACACCCTGTCTTGTCGTTGTTATTCGTTGTTATTTTTACGATGTGAGTCGGGTCAACTGGATCCACCGCACTTCGGTGCTCGGAGCATAGTTGTTCAAGTGAGCTGAACTGAAAATTTCGAAATAGTCACTCAGAAGGGGGTTACCATTAAGTATGTGAGCACCCTAAGTGAGCTGTACTTAAACATCACAGGCCGCGTCAGTCTACGTTGAATAGTCAGATGACTTTTCGACGAGAAATGACACTCACCAAGGCTGTCAATCCACCTAGTTTTCGTTCGGCTTATCGTTTTCCCCTAAGGAATATCAGGCCGTACGGATTGAAATGTTGGTAGGTGGAAAACCCGATGCCCTGGATCTTGCGTACAGTGGCATCGTGTTGTTTGACAGCCGCGAGGTAGCAAAACAAACCCTGCGGAAAGCAACTGTAGTTGTCCCTTCTTGAGTATGCGCTCTGCACTTTCAAAGTTCCAAGTGATGTTGCATGAACACTAGCCACTTCGCAACCCGTCAAATACA